TGAGAACATTGTTGTGGATAGAGACAAAAGTTGTTTGATCACTTTGTCCTGCAAGCTGAAGTAATTTTAATGTACCTTGTTCTTCCTTCAGAGGGMAATTTATTGCTTTCGTTTTCATTTATCTTGGTAGGAACTTGGAACTCGAACCATTTTTACTGTTTTGATGAATAGATGAAGGATCAATTGATTTCATTTATCTCATATTCCACTCATTGATTTCAGGGAGCATTGGATGGTGGACTAGACATTCCTCATAGTGACAAAAGGTTTGCTGGCTTCAAAAAGGAGGAGAAGCAGCTGGATCCTGAGGTTCACCGCAAATACATATATGGTGGACATGTTGCTTCATACATGAGGGTGAGGCCCAAGAACAAATTTTAGAGAAAAAAGATTACAGGGCACATAGAGGGCTTTTAGCTAGAGTATTAGGATAAAAGGGATAGGATTGAACCCGGTTATTTTGTAGTTCAGAAGGAATATTGCTTTCCATCTGAGTTTGCTAATTGATTGACAGGCATTGAATGAAGATGAGCCAGAAAAATACCAGTCTCACTTCAGTGAGTACATCAATAAAGGGATTGATGCTGATAACATAGAAGAGTTATACAGGAAGGTCCATGCAGCTATTCGTGCTGACCCTACCACGAAGAAGTCTGAGAAGCAACCCCCCAAAGAACACAAGAGGTAGGAGAGTCCTCATTTCTGTTTCCCCTTTTCCCTTATTTCTGATACATATACTCACACAAACACACTTGGATTTTCTGTCATACTTCAGTCAGTAGAGCTTAGGCTCTGTTTGATTTGCTAGAAAGAGGTGGGAAAAATGGAATATTCCTAAAATATTCCACTTTCCCATGTTTGTTTTGTGAGACGCACAGAAATGGGACGGGAAAATAGGGGGATACACTTTCTCAAAAACTGGGATTCAGGGTCGCACAAAACAATGTGATCCCAATGAGAAAATGAAGGGAAAGAGTATCAGGCTTGCTTGTTAAAAGAGTTTGTTGTCTGTCTTATCCACTTCCTCTGCCCAATAGCAACA